AATAACATTAAACTGAAATAATAACCACCGTATTCTTAGTTTACAGCCTAATTAAAATAACATTTTAAGAATATTATTCTATAGACCATATACCAAAGAAAATGACTCAAATGCTGTGGGATTACTAAGAAAAACATGATGCGGGTGATCTCATGAAAAACAATAAGTACTTTTGTCTTCTATTTATAAGGGTTAGGGCAAATACCTATTGTTCTAGTTCAATTAATAAACTTACTTTCTATGTCATTCAATATCTAGTAAGTAAACATAATGCAACTATTGTCTTGAATCAACAAAAGAATAAAATTGCGCCAATTAGTTAATTGCACGTTTACAAATTAATGAAGTAAGTTCTTCGAAATGATTGACGGCATGAACCATATGGTTGCACCTGTCATATATATTTATATGGGTTACATAGTTTATTAAGCTATTTTTCATGGAAAACCGAAACGAATATATCAGTGTCATAGTCATGGAATTAAACATCTGGAGGGAGAATCTTAAATTGTGAACACATTGACATTAGGAAAAGTTAAAGACATCGGTTGAAAGATAAAAGTGAAAAATCTCTCGGAAATCCCAATTTGTACTCAAATACTGTAGCAAAATTAATAATAATACGTCTAAACGAAAGTTTCGTTGAAAAACTTTTCGTGACACCCTAAATGTTGGCAATATTTCTACCGAGTTCAAAGTTATTATTGTATTGGCTACACTTCATACAAATATCAACTATTTAAAAATATTAAAAGGTCATTGCTCTACTAAAACATCGATCAATAATTTCTCTAATTTGATGTCCAACTTATTTCTAAACCACGAAACAATATTTTAATGTATAATTTTGATGAAGCACCATCTCAATCAAGTTTCTTTTCTATCGAACTTCGTAACAAAACAACATAATCAGAATGCACACTTATATCTTATGTTATGCTTATTATTTTTATTTACGTTATAACTGGTTGGAGTGGCCAGTGGTGTCGCAACAGGGAGACAACCTTTCTATAGGCAGTCATATCGCCTGACGCCCACTCGTTTTAACTAGAGACGTGAACCGGAGAATAGTTAGTCGATTAACTACCTTTAGTAGGAGCTGAAAGATTTTAATACACTCAAAGAGAGCGTGGAACATGTAATTGTATGTTTATGGATGGATAAACAGAGCAAAATCTATGAAAATGTGGATGGATTGTGTGGAAGAAAGAAGCCTTTATTTCTTATCGCCATCATGTGTTATGTTTTCTGATACAGCGAAATGGAGTAAAGAGTTAAAATGAAGATGTTAGTATAGTAAGAATGGGGATTCATAACAGGACGAAGTATTAATTTATTAATTACGTAAAACCACAAATCAAGCGCTCAACAGAAGCAATAAACAATATAATCGTCTGATAGTCTATTTGTGTTATGCTCGTCAACGGAGCCCAATGCGATAAGACCAAGTCGAGAATTTTATCATGGCCTCTAAAACTATTAACGATAATTTATTTTCCAATTATTAGAACAATAAATTAGTGAGGATACATCAATCATTCTATCGCGACCTTTAAGCATTATAACATGTTAAAATTTTGAGGGCAGTGTTGTTAAGTTTTTCGATTTTTTAAATCCTTATTATGACAAGGCTTGCCTCCTATTCCGGGGTTCTTATCGCAAATGACGAATTATGAGTGTCACACTCATAAATTATATACTCCACCGTTACCTAGTCGATTATATTTTAACAACACTACCAAAAGTACAAAAGGTACAGCTCTAACTTCCGTAATATTATAGTAAGCCTTGCTATCTCAGTCACACACTCAAGATACATAATAATGTGGAGTATCGCTCGGATCATTTCGAGTCGAGAGCAATCGTCAAGATCTGTGCCGTATTGTGACACCCACTATCACTGTCTTGTATGCCCTAACGACTATCAAGGGTTTATTGCCCTACAACCACACTATAATAAATACGACCACAAGACTTCGTGATTGGCCCGAAGAAAGATAAACAATCACGTTTTTACCCTACTTTGACAAAGAAAGTACCTATACCATATTTTGTCCTACATTTCTTGAGAACCGAATTACTTTATGATCTTTTATCTTAAGCTTAGCCATTATGCCCTTATTTAGCAAACACTAACTTAACTACCAAGGCAACGCTACGATATCTCTTTCATCTTTTGTTTTTGTAAGAATATAACAATAAATGATGGTTAATATCCCCGACCTCTTTGGTCTCATCGAATATCTAATGGTTATAATGATGATAGTTTAAAGATGCATCTAAAATTAGTCGCAGATTTTACTCAATAAACGGATACTGACTAGAATCATTACTTCGACAATATATTCTCTTATACTCTATTATCTCTATTAACAGTATGAAATAAATGTCCAATTTAGGTGCACAGTACTACAATAATGATCTTTATTCCTGTCCTGTTGTGAACCGCATTCCTTAGGTACGTAGGTACTTAGTATTTTTTGCGTAGGCGTCGAACCCCACACCCATCGTTTCTTGCATTATAATTATCTGGAACGAATAAATATGGGCAACAATTTATGTTGTGTTGTACGAACTTCTCATAATTTATTTCTACATTAATTTATAATTAGCCTGAAGCAACGTAAAAGTGATTAAATTTAAACAATTTACCTACTTTGTTATTAATGGAGAATGCACTTTGCCTCAAGAAATATGTCTTGTCGTTTAATTAATTAATATGCACCTACCTGCTTGCTTAATGACTTGCCTTTCCATAAAAATTGCTGTCGTCTTAAAACAATTCATTCTTGGTTACCGTACCTAGTAAGAAATCACAAGCATAATTCCTAAATATTTAACGATACTACATTTCAAAACAACACCGCAAAATTATATCCAGAAGCGAAACTTACGCAAAGACTACCGAATCGAATTTGATACACCGAGAATCGAGTACAATTTACACCCCGCGGCAAAATCGCAAACCGCTTACATAATCGGAAAATGCAGTACGCAAATCGATATACAACCTGTAACTATCATCCATAACTTATCTCGCAAAACCAGGTAGCAATCAGGTACACACAACTGCACATCAAAGTATAAATACCAGTTTGTCGTGGTCTTGCTTTATATGACATATCCGCATAGTCAACGGTCAGTGTATACTGGATTATTACAGTTTGATGTGTACATCTCTGTTTACAACTTCACTGGAGGTATTTACTTGTTGCTTTTCCATCGAATTATTCATACGTCCTTCGTACACCATCGCTAGTCAACAATGCGCTTAATAAAGGCAGGTAGCGTGTTGATGTATTCTGTTAAGTAAGCAAGTCAACTTGGTCATTACTTGAACGGTTGAACGAGGCACTGGCGCCAATAGTCTTATTATAGGTACATGGAAATATGTTGGCCGGATACGCCTTCTCTTGCGGTGCGGTTAATTTAAACAGATTGCTTTATGTTCTGAGGTATTGGTATCAAAAACAATAACTTAATATTTAAATGGTAACTTATCAAAATTACAACTTAGTAACATCATTCTGTTAGTCGATAGGTACACATTCTGTTTAGGTACCTACTTATAGTATACACATACACATAATTGATAAATTATTTAATTATCGAAAGACTGCTTTATATAGCCACTGCTGCCAATTGTGGTTAACGAATGAAACAAAATTCACATTCCATGTTCACGTCTATGGTATTTTACTTATATGCTTATAAGTGTCAATGGCTATCAACCTAAAATACGTGTCTCGTTTATATTCTGGTAGCCATTTAATGTCATTAACGATGAACATCATTGGCATTGCGCCAACGATCGCATCGGACCTGTTTTACACACTCGTGATAAGAGCCGAGGTTTTAATTACCTTAAAAGTGAACGCACCTGTCAACGAACCATTATAGTTTTCTTCAAAACAACATCAAAGATGAATTAGTAACAGCTAAACTTACATAAAAAAACAAAAAAACCCGTAACCTACATCCATAAAATTAAAATAAAAACGTTCGTCTCACAGGTACGCTCTGTTAACGAATTTCACGCCCTTGTCACATCCAGTTATTGCATTAGCGTTGTTAGTTTATTCCAACCAGTTTCAATCTGGCCGGGCATCATTTAACATTGCAATTTGTATAATTACACGTCTAGGAACAACTACATAGGTACCATATATAGAAGAATATTACTATATATACTTGTAGAGTAGTAGCACATTCCTTTGTTCCGTCTATATGGTTATAATTGGCTTGCAATATTAGATTTATGTTGTGTAAATATACCTAAGTATATTAATAAATAAGTAAGACTTATAAGGCGTCAAATTGACAACATGTTTAATAGGAACAAAGGATAATTAATTAATATTGCTTGATAATAATTTACATAAGTCATTACGGAATATTTACGTACTTAATTTAAGAACTTCAAAGCGGAAAACCCACGGTCTTTTCAAGTAGGTACTTTGAAATTAGAGTTTAATATTATACTGGTCTTACTCGCTTTGCAGCTGCTACGAAAAAAACTTTAATAAATAAAACCTAATTGAAATTCAAAAGGCACAAAGCCAAATCTTATTCAATTGGCCCTTAAGCCGATTCCGCACTTTCAAATGCACCTGCCTCGTACATTATACATTGTAGAAAACGGGACAGCAAACGGCGTGGCCGTACGATTTGCACTTTCGATTAGAACATCCACTGAACACTATTTCAACCCGATGTCACACCTATGATCAAATTGATAGCCTGCTTTATAGTCCAACACACCTTCTTGGTGGATTTTAGGTGTGGTGAACATTTCTCTATACAATAGATAAGTGGTTATAGTTACTATAGTATCGTATCGAATTCGATGTCTCTTTGGTAAAGAACTTTATTCGGAATTATTAAGGATATTTTTAGAATTACCACTTTATTTATACCAACATAGAGCAACTAATTAACTCGCAAGCAACTATTGAACTCTTTCTTCGTATACTTATTTCGCTCTTTCTTATTCTTTGCAGCTCCCAACTTCTCACTGTGTCTTCACATCAGGAGATGGATGGTGTCCGGCAGAACGCGAATATCTACCAGCAGCGGGTGATAAATCGACTAAAGGAATTGAAGTCAACCCAGTATCTGCTGAGAGGACTCTCCACGTCGGCAAGAAGAACAAATTAGACATCCAGTACACTTCTAAAACTAAAGAGAAGGTGAGTTTTATAGGAATCGCTTTGCTATTGTTACTTAAAATAAGAACGTGTTTTCCATAAACGTGTTCACATTTCACGTTTGCAATTACAAATTAGGTATCTTACAATGTTAATCACATGATAGGTACTTCAAATGGCAATAATTCCAGAACGATAGGCACTTGTCTAGGCACCCTAATAGCAAATGGATCACCCAAGATGCTCGAATGACAATACTTAGGTCAGATGGAAGGTCAATGATCTAAGAATAGGAAACAATATCAGAAAAGGTTAATAATAAGACAATTGACACTTATTACGTAATCACTGATATGGTCAAACATTCTTCGAAATGTGATGTGATATGTCAAGTTGAAAATAAATCTCATTTAGACCAAGAAACACTAACAATTAACCTAAATTGTTTCTTGCTTACAAATATGTTATGGTTGTTAAAGCTAATGCCGATTTTATGGCACATTATCATAGGGCACAAATGTGAATGACTAAGGGAATAAAATTGTTTTATGAAGACGTGAGAATTAGAGGTTATAGGCGAGCAAAATGTTTGCAGCTGATGAAAATATAGCAGATAGAGCACGCATGATCATTCTAAAATTATTGATTGATTCATTGCTCGTTATTGCGCATCATAATGTGTTATATCATATTGATTTTATAAATGTAGTAAACATTATGATAATAAATTTATATGATTTTATAATTCAAAATAATAATTCTTCAACCCTTCTTCTAACAAGTTTGAGTAAAAGTAGATATACAATTAAAGCCTCGATCAGCTTTTTTTATTGAAGAGCTACATAAAAGAAAGGCTCAGCGGTAAGGCAAGGTCATAGCATTACATTCCAACCTTCTTGTTCCATAACAGTAGTAAAAATATTCTAGGAAGTAAATAACTAACGATGCATTTTCACAGTAACTTGTCCCAGTAATTTTAGAATTAGCGTCAACATCTCAAGAGAAGCGTGCCTCTCTATTCCCTTGGACATAATTACTACTATTATAATAATTATAATTACAGTAGGCCATGTTTAAATAATGATACCATAATTATAATTACGTTTTAATAGTTCATAGTCTACACTCTAATGATGACGAAAGTTGACGTGTAATGTAAATGGAGGAAAGGTTCATTCATCTAGTTCTTGAGAAACTTTAAGAAAATTTTTGTTAGAGCTTACTATTGCCGAATTATAATCAAGTACTTAACAAACACTACCAATTTGATTGCACGGTTGGTGCGGTGGCTGTGCAACTGGGTGTCGCGGGTTCGATTCTCGCACGGAGCAACTCTTTGAGTTATCCACAGATTGTTATTCCGGGTCTGGATGTCATGTGTTTGTGAACTTGTATGTTTGTAAACACACCCACGACACAGGAGAAAATCCTACTGTAGGGCAACGGTTATTCCGGGTCTGGATGTCATGTGTTTGTGAACTTGTATGTTTGTAAACACACCCACGACACAGGAAATAATCCTACTGTAGGGCAACGTTTTAAAAAGAAAGAATCCAAAGTACTTATAACCAGTATTAACATTAAGGAACGAAAATAAATCCTTCCTTCTAAATAAATACCAAAAATATGATCGCATATACCATTTCCAAGGTTTAAAGGATAAGAGCACCGTGACTCACATTCGAAACACTCATAAAATACAGATCGAAGATCCACATCCTCTCAATAACCGTACAATCAATTCTCGCCTTAAATATCCTATAATTCTTCAGCTCTTTAACTTAAATTATCTTGCAGCCCAAGATGTTGATTCTGCAGTCGACACAAAGCTTCAACATCGAATTTGATATCGACGAGCCTGAATGTGCTGGAACGATGTGCGTCGCAACTGTCTCTGCTACTCCTACTCAAGACTTCTGCAACGTTACTGGTGGAGTGTCCGAGTATGTGGAGGTCAGCATCAATGTAGGACTAGCTGAAGAAGTGAAGGTCAAGTACTACGTGGTCTGTGCTTGCCCCTGCAGTGGTAAAGCTGAGATTAGGTCCCCAGTCTGCAACGGAAATGGCAACTACTCTTGTGGAATCTGCATTTGTGAACCTGGATGGTAAGTGTCACTGAAATATGTACTATATGTTAAAGACAAATGTGTTCATAATCCCAAAACATTTTTGTTTGTCGGTAATGCGATTAATCATACCGAAACGTGCAAAAACAATCTTACTCAGCTACCTTTTGCTAAAATAAATACAGGAAAAAACGTCATTGAAATAACATTTAACTTAACAAATCTCAGTTTATGCGGTTAGTTAGTTTTAAGTTCGTGAAGGAAAATTACCCAATAATGGGACGTTAGGTAAGGTTTATAAATAAAAATAATACCACGTACAAAATAAACTTAAGTAAATGTATTTCAATAAAATGAATAAATACATCATAAATAATTTATTTGCGTTAATAGGTAAGGTACAGAAAATTGGTATATAGGTACATGAATAAAATTGATCTCTTATTCGGCGTGCAAATAAACTGAAAAGAACAGTCACGGTTCAAAGTAATCTTAAAAAACGGCGGGTGCAACACCCGATCTCATCTTGAAACACAAAAGATTTTTGTAATTGTTGCCTATTTTACACAACCTAGAAAGTAAGTGAAACTTAGCTTTATACAAAGCCTAACAAAATAACAATGCTCATAAAAACACAACTAGTGTAAACAATCGACTCTTGGTAGCAACTTGTTATAGCTATAATAACTTAGAAACATTTGAACAAATAAACAAAGCAGGTGACATGTAAGCATGTAACAATCAAGTGTTAACATAATATTCACCAAGTATAAGTTAAATTCATCGAAATGTGGACAATGAATCATATAGCAAGACAATCAAATAAGCATTATATGTCGTAATCTAACGAAGCAAGGTTGAATTTCGCAAATTAACACTATCACCAGTAAATATTGAAGTTGAACGCAACAAAAACATCTTTGTTCGAACATTGATGCGGAGTTAATTGTGGCACAAGAGCTCCACTCTGTTCTTAATGCCGGGGTTATTAAAAATGGTTTCATGCCATACAATTTGTGAACAGCTGCTTGTCAGTGAATAATTTGTTTTTAAAGCAAACCTTTAAAAACTGAAATGCTCTCCAATCGTCAGTAGGAATAGAAAGGTTTAATGAAATGTAAACATTGAAACTAATCTTAAACATTCATCGAAAGTACACTTAAACTAAAGCGTACACATATCCATACAGCCATTACTACATGTCATGATATAACAGATAATAACTCCTCAACAATTCTAATAAGGTAATCCACCAGGATGTTCGTTAGTAATGGACTGATGAATCGATTAGCTTCCGATTGTTATCGATAGAAGAATCGGATCATTTAGGTCTAGGCCCGGCTACAGACGATTTTGTTATTGCAAATATTATTTCTTTGTTAAGTTCATTTATTTTTCGTACATCGTGATTTACTCATGCATTCCAATGCATACATGCATCCACAAAATCAAAGCTGCCATTGGCAGTTTATGTCCGACTTTCCGTCTGTGCATGACACCAAACAATAAGAAATGACCTAAATCTTTCAAGGATAAAAACTTAAAAAATGAAAACAAAATGTTAGAGTCAGTATTTCTTAACAACTGTCAGTATTTCTTAATGCCTAAGTACAATGTGCACGTCGAACAAAAAAAGAATACAGACATCACATTTTGTAACTGCAACTAGCATTAAGGATTGTTAAAGTTATACTTAAAAGTAATTTCCTTACACAGGACGGGTGCATCATGCGAAAAACCAATTTGCGATGAAACCAAACGTGGTGATGTTGTCCAGTGCTCATTGAACCCCAGGAACGATGTAAGTCTCTTGAAAATCTTTTTTATTTACCCTTTTATCTGTTTTCTATGTCATGCGACCCACGCAAATGTTCTTTAGGTTGGTATTGTTCGTCGAATTAGTCAGTCTCACCTGTTAATTGAGCTGACTGTAAACCGACACATGCGTACTGCCTTCAGAACGGGTCCGCTCAAACTGTTGTGGTTCTCTCCTCAAAATGCCACTACAGAAAGAACTTACACGGTTCTCACACATAATCTTTTTATACATATTTGTCTGAACTTTAAAAGAGACAGACCTCTGAGTTTGTTTCGGCATTTCTTCTCAGAGTAGTCAGTTAGAAAATGTCGACCTCATCGTTCGCTTGATAAAATTGACGTGTAAAAGTGCTGCCTTGTAGCCTATTTGCAGAAATAAATTCACTTGTTTCACTTGTTTCACATATGAACACAATGCAACTTCATCGGCATCAATAATTTCTTCTACATTGAAATATCTCTCCATTTCCTCTGCCTAACCACAAATCGTTTCCAGGAGGACTGCAACGGCAATGGCTACTGTGGTATTTGTGAGACCTGCGTCTGCTATACTGACCGGGAAGGTTCCCAATACTTCGACCAAGACAACAACTGCGCTGGTCTCTGTACCATCACAAACGGTGATTATGAGGACTGCCTCGTCAACAGCAACGGTACTAGCGGCATGTGCTTCAATTCTCATCCGAATCCGCTAATAATGCAACGTTACAACGTTTCTCTCACAAATGAAAGAGATTATGAAGATAAAAAGGTTTGGGTGAAATGCAATGAAACCTTTGACGGCTGTGGGATGCTAGAATACTTCGCCAAACGTGACGAAAGAGGCATTTACGTTATGATGGTGAATCTTTGTAACGAAATTCATAATGAGGCGATTGTGGCTGACACGAAAGGTAAGAAACAGTTAATACATTTTTATACATAACATCACGACTTTTATCCCAGATGGGTTAGGCAGAGGTGCACATTACGGCATTTCACTACTTTTCACTATTTATGTTATGAGTCCAATGTAATAGGGGGTGAGCCTATTGCCACATACCTGGCACAATTCTAGACGCCGTGTTACTGCTGACAATTTTTTTTAATAACTCAGTAATACTTAGCCCGACCCGGGAATCGAACCCGAGATCCCATGCCCGGCAGTCGCACTTGCGACCATTCAACTCACAAGGCAGTCTAAACTTTTATATAACTTACTAATACTTATTTTTATACAAGAGAGTTCATGTGGTCATTCGGAATTGGGTTTTAAATTACGTATAACGCATGTAAACAGAAATGAAAATAATTAAGAACAACACGATTATGAAACTGCCACACAATCACACAACGAATTCCACGTAATTCCATATCATTTGCGTCACTCTTAACAACAAGGCTCTTTATGAATGGAAAAAAGTAATTTTTAATTTCATTAACTTTACTCTGCATTGCATATGAAACTCTAATGATAACAAGATAGAGTGTTTTCTCCAAGTTTATACAGATTTGAATTTACACAGATGCGTTCAATAATTCCAGCCTTTTGACATGGCAAAACAAATATGCGCCTGACAACATCTGCGCATCGGTCTTTCTTAGAACAAACATATTCATCGTATATCGTAGTCGTATGGACTCACTCAATCATTGTTATTAAAACAATCGTGTCCACTTGTATCGTGTATTTATGTGTTATAATAAGACGCCAAACTGTCTAATATGGTAGGAAATCACGTTAATGTTTGAAGATCTATTTTACTTTTCAATAACAACATATGCAATATTCTTCGTACGTAATAGTTACAAGTTTTAATTTGTTTCACTTTTCACCGAAAAACATAAATCAGTAGTCGAATCGTATTAGTTTTTTTATGGCATAAACCGGTAAACGAGCCGACGGATCACCTGATGGTAAACAATCGGCGTCGCTCATAGACACTTGAAACAATAGAGGCGTTACAAGTGCGTTACCGATCTTTTGGGGATTAGGAATTTGAAGATTGTTGAGGATTCAGGACAGGACACAGAACGCAACTGTTATTTCACCTCGGTTTTCTGTGAGGCCGTGATATCACTCCGGTTGAGCCGGCCCATTCGTGCCAAAACATGACTCCCCCACATTTTTGTACGGTCTCTGTCAAAGACTGAGATTGTTTTACAGATTTTGGAAAAGGTTGCGGCCATAAGTAACTCCACACATCAGTTCAATTTGTTAGTGACCTAGAAAGCATAATGAACTAATATTTACTCATCGCAGATAAATAATGACAACATTAAATAAACACCAGACAATCAGACATACGGCCATTGTAAACAGTTTACACATACTAGTTCTCCCCGCGACACCGCCTGTCCTTTGTCAAAAGATTATACTTTGTCTTCTAAAACGCAATCTGAGTAAACAACTTCTTACACTTATTATTGTTTGGATTATTGAATAGTAAATAATGTTATTCTTATTAATGGGTTATATTAACAATGGCTGTGATTGTAAACTCTTTTTACCGACTTCAAAAAAAGGAGGAGGTACTAGTACGTAGGTTCGCGCTTTAATCCGCCATTTGTGAACCGAATTCCAAAAATTTGGTTAACAATTACAATTCATTTATTAATTGCAAACATAGGTAACATTAGCTTTTGTCAACATATAAAATTATAAAATAGTTGGAAACAATGATTTGGATTGATTATTATTAGTTATTTGTCATTAGAATTATAAATAATTATGTCACATAGGATTATAAATTTGAATGTCACAAGTTTAAATAAACAGGAGTGTCAATAGTCATGATAAAAATCTTATACTATTGTATAAAGCGGAAGAGCTTGTTTTTGTTTGTTTGTTTGGACGCGCTAATTTCCGTAACTCCAAGTCTGATTTGAATAAATCGTTTTGTGTTGGATAGCGCATTTATCGAGGATGGCTATAGGCTATAAAACATCACGCTACGACCAATATGAGCTGAGCAGAGCGTGTGAAACCGCGCGGAGGTAGCTAATTATTAAATAAAGCGCAGTAAAGCCCTTACAGAACTCATCCACAGCTTCCAACCAATCATGTACACACTCGAAGTAAATAAGATAACTTCACCTAATCCATATAAAACAATACGTGACACATTGCACTTTGTTTGAACAAAGTCCCGCCCACTGTTGCATTGTTTTAGCAAATTGAAAGGAAAAGTACGTAGGCAGAAGTTTTATTACAATGGATAGATTTACATTACATTAACTTTCTTGTATTATAATTCTTATAAGACAATTATAGGGTAGACGCCTAATTTTTATTTTAATGTCGTGTGGTAGATTATATTAAATCATTAGACACTTATTTATTATTTTCTTACAGAAACGAATACTTTCGACAATACATTGATTTGAAATGTCCCGTGACGTCACTTCTATGTACATTTTATACGTAGAAATGACGATTTAACCCCACTCCTAAACTTTGATTCGTTTTATCCAAGTATCGTTTTATTATACGACAAAATACGTGTCTAATATTTTTTCATTATCTAACTTACGGACTAATTATATTTTTAATTTTCATACCCTGTCATCATCCTAATTATACCCTTCTACCTCTAATATCATAACTGCGGAACTTTGTGACGATGTATGTCTGTTAGTCTTTAACGCAAAAACTACTGTTGGGAATTGTATGAAATTTGATTCAGAGATAGATTATAGTACGGATTAACACATAGGCTACTTTTTATCCTACAGGAATGTTCGTAGAAAGTACTATTTAATAAGTTAAAATGTTTACCAGCTTATTCAAAACTGTTTTATAAGATAACATAGACTTGTTTCAAGTTTATTTAGTTAGTAGCTATATACCTACTGGTCAAGTTACTTCGTCAAATTGTTACATGAAAATTAGTTTAATTTAAATTACAATAAACACATAATTAGTTTCCTTAACTTATTACGTAGGTATGAGCAAAGTTTGGCGTAGGTAAAACCCCTGTTTTGTTTATTGGCCCTGTCTTATTTACCTGGATTTGTATTGAATTAGCCTGAAACACGTTTGTGGTTAGCGTTTAACTATGTTGACAATGCCAATGATAATAATGTTGACCTTAATACAATCGGACTCATTAAATTTCTTCGTAGACCTGTATGTAGACAATGAGATAGGTATTAATGTCTACTATAGAAACCTAATTATTTTATAGCTTCTACCTATGGCTTCACTTACGTTACCGGGACACAAATCTCTAAACCAAGTTTGAATCAAATTTTTGTGTAAAAAAGAGAAAAAAACGTTTATTTAAACATATCCTCACAAACTTTCACATTTATAAGTTTTATTTTTCAATCTACTTACGCTGAAATACTCAAAACGCCACTCAATTTTACTGTCACTACAAGTTCTTTCTAAAAAGACAAGGATGGCACGCTATTTAAGTACAATTGAACATTGAGTGCCCTTTCAGTATACAGGCGTTAAGAATTCTAAGTCTCCAATTAATATTCCTATTTCGTCTCTTAGTGCCAATTATCCTGGGAGTCCTGGGCATCGTGGCAGCAGTAGCGGCAGTAAGCGGAGTGATGCTATGGAAGCACTTGAACACCGTCCCTCCAGTCCCTCTGAACGACCCTCAGTACCAGAACATTGACGCTGAGGACTGCACGGGAGAGAACCCACTATACAAACCTCCCACGTCATCCTTCAAAAACCCAACCTATGGCAAATGGTAGTTAAAGTAAGTGGCATTCTATATTACTTATTTTATAGAAAATCATTCTTTTTGAAAATAGTGGTTATGCGTTCGACTCAAATTTCTTTATTTTCTAGACTAACTCTTTTTAAAAGGACAACATAATATCTCCAAACAAATACGATAATATTCTGTTTTAACATCACTACGTAACAATTCAAGAGCTTTTACCGATTATCAAATCAACATTGCGGGATATATGCCTTTATAGACAACTTAATTGACTTTATAACTCCAACTCGACAAACGTTGAGAAACACAATGAGAAGTTATTCGTTGCTTCATAAGAAATGCATATCTGTAAATAAAACGCCAAAATAGTAATAAATCTTATTTTAGTCAACTTAAGTTAAGCTTAAAACAAAATGCGCTTAGGAACTTGTATTTCATAACTATCTGATGCAAGTATGGTGTTATAATACCCAAGTTACGTAGAAAAGGTAATAAATTAAAAATAATCCTTTTATGGGTAATTTGTATACAAATACTTACATTTTCCCGTCTGTAGATACAAGTGTTGTATGGAAAATATACTAATATACTCATCATTATAATTCAAAGTCAAAGTCTGAAAACCACATATACATAGGTACTTACAAAATGTACATTATGTGGTATTACACATTATTTAGCTTTTAGTGGTTTAAATAACTATTTTATAACATATAGGAGTTGAGCGAATCATAATTCACCACCTATAGATATATTGCGTATATACATTGGCGACTGAATTTAGTCAGTAAGAGTCTGACACTCCCTCCCGCCTCACCCAGGCGGGAGCAGACATTCGATAATTTTCCCCCTTAAAAAAAATACAGAGTGTGAACAGAACGCTTCCGAAAATGAAGACAAAACCATTTTTATTTAGTACAATTTTATTCTTTTTGTTTTCGTGTTACTTAGCCGCATCAGCCTTGATCAGTTGATTACAACTATTATTAAGTAAAAGAACCATTTTATTCCTTACTCCTTTGAAAATAAAACTCTTTTTCTACTATCACCTGTCTTCGTTATATCTCTACTCCTACAGGAAATAAACGCATAATTCCTTTTTTACATACTTTCTTTAGTTCTTTAGTCTTTCTTTCCAAAAGTTGATTATATAAAACTTAGTTATAAACGTTTTATTACAAAGTATCACCTATCCTATCAGCTACGAAGGCCATACAATATCAGCTCATTGAATCTCAGCTCTCAGCAACCTGCAATCACGAGCAGCCTTACTGTTTTACCCTCTTTCCAATAACCTTCATGTTTTACAACAGCTAACTGCAGTACGTTCACTTTACAATAAATAATGTAAACTGCACTATTTGGATATAAAAACGATCGTAAGATAACTATCCTGCCCCCATAGACTAATAGAATTAGGATTATGGCACTGCTTTCAAATCTATGTCGAATAACTCACCAAGACAAGGATACCTCGTATTACAGTTGACTCAAGTCCGTCGAACAAAATTCCCTGTCTGTGCAAGTTCTAATTAACAATGATATGACAAAATTGGTTATTACTTATTAAAGAAGGGCCAAATTAAAAGTATCCTTACTGATGAGCATGCATGAAAAGACTGATGACTGTTGATGAAGGGACAGAGGTATGTAAGAATCGTAGCAATCGGCGTTCCATAGTCCCTGCTTACTCCCATAATTATGACTATATGTATGGTTACTAGTACAGTGAAGAACAACTCTATATATCACTTCGGAAAGTAAGCATAATAATGTTTTCATCTTTATTAACACTAACATACCGTTAAGACAATAAATATAAATGACGATACCATATTAGGTTATATGACGAACCCTTAAGGAGTGGCCATTTATGAATCGATTTTCTACTTTATACTCTAGACACTAAGATTGAAAATGTTTAAGAAAATGTAGACAATTCTGATAGTTTGATGTGCTTGCATAGCCTTCTTTAGCCTAGGTTCATATAATGAGGGTTTAATGGACGTCCGGCCCGCCCTGGACTGTCACCTTATACCACTTAGCTGACATGACTAGTTTTTGTACCTCCATGTCATAATTGTTACTTATCTAGTTTGTGCCGGTTATAAAAAAAGGTTGCATCATGATCAAGTGTTTCAAAGAATTCATGATTTTCCGGTTCTAAATCAATCAGTACCATACTTTAAAAACACTGTAGTCATTTTTAATAAGTTACCTTTTTGTGAAAATAAGAAGTTCAATTAAGTATTTGAGCCTACTTAATGTTAATTATTCTTTTATGAACCACGTTTAAAACTACCGACTTCATACACTCTTTTTGTTTTGAAGTCGGTTCTTAATAAGCTAAAACCTTCTCCTTATTGTAAAACCACACTTTTCTGAAAGCCACATCAATAGGTTCAGCTCGCAGCAGTTCAAGGTTCAGGTACATACGTACAAACTGCGAACCTGCTTTTTTCTTTTTAAAGTAGTTTAGTAATTAATCGTAAAATACATATTATATAGGCGTTCCATCCTCATTTCTAATCGTAACTTATAGATTGGAATGCAACAACTGGTCTGAGACAGCTAAAGGTGCTTTTATGGTCTCTATTAAAATTTCCTCTTTCGCCACTTTTATGTCACGGTTGAGAAATGCAGCCCGGTTTAATGCAAGATTTATGTTACGAAGCTATAACATTTAATTCATAAACCTACATAATATTATGTATACAATTACGCCTATATTTTCCATAAGGGTAGAATTACCTGCTTATATGTATGTAGTTTAAAGGATAATAAATGAGGTAAGTGTTACGGCAACCAAAATCCACTTTACTATTACTAACAATTACTGTGACTTAACACACTTTACACTTCATAAGGAGATAACTTCAATATTTTCCTAATACACCCAAAAATGACGAATAATCCCTTATAGGGTCAGAGATATTCATATAATAAGAGGAGGTTATATTATATGAATATGAATTTAAAATATAAATTATATTTTCAACAATTATTCACGATAATAATTGTTGACAGTAGGAAATCACAATTTGTCTACTGTAAATGTATTTTCGAGGGACTTTTTATATCTTTTTAAATAGTTTGACGTCATCATCAGAAAGGAAGAGGTTTGTCCCGGCATTTCTAAACACTTACTATTAATGGCGCCCATCCTTTGTTACATATTGTTAGTCATCTTTCGATAAAGCGCAAACACACTCTTGTACATATATTGCGCATTATATGAAACATTGTGCAAATGTTTTGAAGAAATCAATAATTCAATGTAGCAACGTGATTAATATGTTGCAATTAAAATATTTTTTCGCTAAACAAAACAGTTTGCTAAGACTCTTTGATACTCAGCGCGAGCAATATGGTCGCAAACAGACACCATAATTATTCCGAACAAAAAAAACTCAAAGCAATACAGTCACAAATCTGAACAAGCGTATAATTGGGCACCTAACCTAGTTTCAGAACTATAAAACCGTCGAGATCTCATTCAAAATAAAAGCAAAACCATCATTTACGACTTAACTTTCAACAAATCTAGTACTAATACTTGTATCTTGTAGGCATTCTAGAGTATCTGAGTACATTCGTGTCCCGACATCAAGCTAAGTAAGCATATCGGTCGATTCACGTAGAAATATTAAAACTGACTTCAGTGTGTGTACAACAGCAAACGTAACACAAGCGTATCTGTGAGAATCATTAAAACTATTACTAATCTGTAAATAGCTGATAATAAACTTTCCATAACTAAGTGAAAAGTATTCATTAATCACCATACTCAACAATCAAACAACTGAACTCAACTAACGATAGTATACGGGCAAACTAAACCCACACAGATATCTGTTCTTCTAGACTATGTTATGTAGTCAGGTCATACTACCTAACTATGGAACTTTTACAAGTGCATAGTGCATATCTTGGAATGAAGTGCTAACTATCACTACTAAGTAAATGCTATCAAAATGGTCGCTTTAGTTCTATACTGTTTTATTATAGTTACTGAGTTCATAGTTTCTTTATAAGTAAATAGTTGACTGCTTGCTTCGTATACACTAACTTAAGTAATTGTATATTGCTAGAGTATTTATCTAAAGTTCAACGTCCAATACACTTAATTTTTTGTATCCACATTTACTTGCCTCTTATTTAATCTGCACTTACGTCTAAACTAATCCCCTGTCATATTAAGACTTTAAATGCTACAAAAAATATTAAAGCACACACTATGTTGATCACAAATCCCCTATGGCGTTTAACATGTCCATTATTGTGATAGATTTTTTCAACCCTACTGCGTATTATATTCTCTTGTACAAGCTACTCATTTAATCACAAACTTTTGTTTACCCACCCTTGTTTATTTCGAAGGGATAAAACAATACACCCACTACACGACTTCTATTACTTTATCATACAACAACACCCTACACAAATGTCCTTATTTCTTTACACTAAAATGTTCGGTAAAATAAAATTCAATCTTCAAATCGATTGACACCCATTGCTCTCGAGCACGTGCAGCGACGAATCTATTAAGTTTAATGGTCCACTAATGAATCAGTAGTAAAATCGAATTAAAGAACACAAAGCATTGAATGGCTGTAAAAAATATACAGCTATTTATGGCCTGGGCTTGAAACGGGTTCTGAACTTGCATACTGTATTATCTGCGTCAAACATCTCTTATCTACTTTTGTTATCACGATCCAATCTATGTAATTATGGTGTTAATCTTCTTTGTGGAAGAAAGACCGTACCTATATGGCTGCATTCTTTCGTATTTCATAATACTTTTGATTTGATCAATGCATCACTGTATTTTATGACAAGTTTTACTAAAGCTTTCACGCCCTAATTTTTATTACTTTGCAATAATTCATAAACTTAATAAATACATTTTTAATAACGCAACATGTTATTGTAAGTAACTTATAGTTCACAATACAATTTTAACTTAGTAATAATTTAATTTTTACCAAATAAAGAGGCTCCAGCATGATTCAATAAGCATTTATC